TCCTGGGTTCTAAAGGTTGCGTTGTAGCTTTCCACATGTTTATCCCCGTTTTCGTGTGCTTCTTGTGGTGTATTGAAGGGAGGTAAATGTTCCACTCGGTTAGTGTTTTATGGGTTGACTTTTGGAGTGTAGGTGATGAATTGAAAATGAGAGTTCATCATCAAAGGGACGAGAATCTGATTGGCTGATAGGAAGGGACGTGAATCTGATTGGTCAATCCTCACTGTGTCGATGACGTCATGCTAAAAATAGATACCTGTGTATTTCAAACGGTTGTGCAATGACCGGGGAAAACCTCGAGCTATTGAAAGGTATACCTTTGTTAAGCCACATGTGGTTGTATCCACTAAAGTAAATATTGAAAGCAGGGAGGTAACCTAAATGAACATTTAGGTATTGTAACATTATATTGTTGACTTCATAGAGAGTAAATGTTAGGTGACCTTTCACAGTGAAGTGACAAGTAGGTCACACAGAGCGAGACAGCTGTGTATTATATAAAGCTAGGTTATGTTTTTGTAGCCGGGTGTGGTGTGTAATGTCCAGCCACTGGGCTGCTAGTCATAACAAGAGCAGTTCTCGATGAAGGATGAAGTTTATTTAGGTTTAAAGTTGGGAGGAAGGCTGAAAACAGGGAACCTCCCTCCTATAAGAGTTCATGCAGAATGTATAATGTAAGCCAAATAGTTTAAATGGCTGAAGCACATGGTTGAAGACCATATTGAAGCACATGGTTGAAGACCATGTGCTCAGTCAGAGTTACAAAATATGCAGTAACTGGTAAATATTTAGATAAATGTATGAAATAATATTGTAATTAAATATGTTTTATAATTATGAAGTTGTGAGATACCCTTTAATGAATAGTATTTGTTTACAGAGCAAAGTACAGAAAGATAAGAATATTGAAATCTTTCTCACCTGAAAACAGAGAACCTCCCTCCTATAAGAGTTCATGCAGAATGCATGAGGAGGGCAGGTGAGAAGGGAAGTTCAGAGAGGGGGGCCAAAAGGCCAATCAGAATACATGTAGCATCTGACAGATGTCAAAGGAAGTCAGATGCTGGACAGTTATATTAGGTGGTGGAAGTGTCTAAAAATAGAGAAGGGGAACTCCAGGTGAAGCTGGAGAACTCAGAGGCTGCTAAGGGTATTGAAAATTGAAGATGTTAGTGGTCTGACATTCAACTGCAGACAAGGACAACATATAATACAAATAGCATGAAATGATGATGATGATGATGATGATGATGATGATGAAGTGGATGACAATGTGTATATATAAATGTATATGACAATACTGTGGGGGGTTATGAGAGGGTGGTACTTAAGTGGTAATAACTCAGTCAGAGGTAAAGCCACCACCCTGTTACATTTGCTTTGATAACATTTCTCCTACAACCATGCCCGTGGAAGGATGGAAAGAGTATTTGTCCAGCATTTACTTTAATCCCAAACACCCAGCTTCCTTCTCGGGTTCAACTAAGTTATATCACATGGTGAAAATGAAGGGAAATTTAATATCAGCTTACATCACATCAAAAAGTGGCTCGCTTCTCAAGATGCCTATTCATTTCAGCGACCTCTTTAAGCAGAACAGAGTGATCTCAACTGGTTTGAACGATCGGTGTGATATAGACTTGGCTGATGTTTCCAATATGGCCTCTGACAATGACTGTGTAAAATACTTATTGATAGCTATCAATGTATTCACACGATTTCTATGGGTGGAACCCCTTAATAATAACACACCAGACGCAGTCCTTAAGGCCATGAAGAAGATATTTGCTAGTGCTACTCTTCCACACATTATCAGATCCGACAAAGGTCGTGAATTTTTTTTCATAAACAGCTTCAGAAACATTCATAAACCTTGTCTTCTTTATGACTATTCGTTGCACCATAAATTCAATTAGTAAGCGTTATTGCCATCAACTTCACTGGTAAATTACTGATCGTTGTTCATTTTGCCATCTTTAATGTGTAGGGCGGTGGGATAGCCTAGTGGTTAAAGCGTTGGCTCGTCACGACGAAGACCCGGGTTCGATTCCCCACATGGGCATAATGTGTTAAGCCCATTTCTGGTGTCCCCAGTCGTGATATTGCTGGAATATTTCTAAAAGCGGCGTAAAACTAAACTCAGTCAGTCAGTCTTTAATGTGTGCGTCACATTTGTACGTACATTGTACGTAATGGGAGAGACATTGAAACACACACTATTGTTATTCGCTTGTTTAGCAATCCCGAAGGCCATTAGAACGAGAAAATAGCAAGGATGTGTAGAGGGTGTTCATGTGGTTTTACGACAAAGGAGACTACTGGAAACTAAATGTTCTCGACGGAAAGTGTGTTTTGTAATATACTGATTGGATAACTGTAATGCCCACACTCACCAAATACTCATGTTCCCATACATGTCAGGATCAAACTGATTTTCTCCACCGTTTTAGCAAGACACTGTACATTTTATTTCATCTTTTTCCAGTTCTTCTGAACGCAACCATATTTCACGTGATACGTTACTCTTTGCTGTAATAAAGTGTAATCTTTTTACGCATAACTGTAATAAGTTGTAGTTTTTCTGATGAAGAAATATTCAAGAATATGCCTTACATGTCATGTACAGGTCAATCGCAAGGGAAATGTTTGTCAGTATATGTAGTATCAGTACGAGTTCATCAGATCGATAGCTTTTACAAAAGCCAATCTAATGCTAAATAGCATTTTTTCTGATCGTTTGCAGTTTAGAAGTAATGACATATTTATAAATATAACCTGATAAGTGGTTTAGTTATCGTAATCCCATACTCTCAAGTCGAGAGATTGACAAAACTGCAATGCGGAATACTAAAAAATAATAATACTTTTTTGCGTTGATTGTGTGTATTTTTTCCGTGGTTATCTGTTTGGTTTTATTTGTAAAACGTTCTTCTAAAAGGTTTCATAGATTAGAATCAATTTCTTTGTTTATATGTCCGTATTTTAATAAGAGTTGAGCCTTTCCATGGCTTGCTGGAGCTTGAAAATATACAGTTGCATAACCTTCACAGAGCCTAAGTAGGTTCGTGAAACTGTTCGTAGTGGCTGAATTCAGCCACCTTTGTTAGACCATATACACAGACCATACTGGTACTCCTTACGTTCAGATGGGACACCCAACAGATTTTATCCCTGCATTTTGAATGGACCCACCTTCTTGACTGGGATATGGACTTAAGTTGTTTCCGAAAAATGTACTGTGTTTGGCGTGGTCATATTGTCCAAACAGTGCTACTGGCTCAGTAGAGACAGAAGTTGAAAGCAGGAGCTAGCTTACCGATTGGGGTGTGATTAGGGTGCTGATTATGACCCTGATGAACTGAATATTATTGTGACAATTTATACAACTTTCTTTCATGACAACATCATTCCTACTCGGGAAATAAAGTTCTGTCCAAATAATAAGCCCTAAGTAAGAAAAGAATTAAAACTTCTTTTGAACGATACGAAGCGAGCCTTTAATTAACATGACAGGATTCGTTTACACAGCATTGAGAGGGAAATCAACTGTAAAATACGAGAGTGTAACGAACAGTTCAAGGATAAAGTACAAGCAGAATTTAGACGGAATAACGGCAGGAAAGCAGGAAAGCTTGGCAAGGGGTGAAAACAAATTTTATTCGAAAGAAATAGGATCTGTTGAACAATATGCACGGTGATGCTTACAAGCCACGCATATCCCAAGACTAAGTAGTCTTTAGATTTTTGAGAATAGATATAAGGAAATCATCAGCCCCGGATTGTTTAAGGGTTGTTCTGCTGAGAGAATGTAGAGAAAATTATCATTTATTTTTTGTAAAATGTATCTGGTCTCTTCGGACACTCATATCACACCTAGATCATGGAAGCTTTCCAAATAATACCAGTAAACAAAAAGAACAAACCTACAGCTAATAATGACTTAAGACATGTTGTTTTAACTTAAGATGCAGTGAAGTGTTTTTTGAACGTATTGTGTTTTGTATGCTCCTAAATCATGTCGATACTCGTTTAGATCCTTTGCAATTCGCGTATAGAGCGAGACAAGGTGTGGAGGATGCTAATGTTTAATTACTTAACTGTATATCAACATCTTGAAAAACCTGCTGCTTAAGTCATAATTTGTTTGTAGGCTTCCCCTCAGTCTTTAACACCATCTTTTGATAAAGGAATTGATTGATTTAAACATATGTCCCCGCTCTAGTTAAATGGATAACCTCCTTTCCAATATGTCAAACTGAAAAGTTCTCGTTCTCAGACTGAAAACCGGTGCTCGGCAAGAATGTGTATTTGGGGAACCTTTCTATAAAACGTGTGTACAATCCATCCCCCTGTCCTCTATTCGGTGTTGCTTCGGTTCTATTTCACTCAGTTATGAAAACAAACAAAACAAGATTATAAAACAAGGACAGAAAATTACTAATCGTATCTTTAAGAGAATAAATGAAGTTTACGGAGGAAAGGCTCTGAATTTAACTACAGAAATTATGACTGATCCCTCTCGTGTTTTACATGAATGTTATGACACGTTACCCCCTGGCCTCCGGTATAATGTACCGACGTGCAAATCCAAGCGTTATTAAATGTCTTTTGTACCATTATCAATTTCTTTGTTGAATAACCATTTATCTTGGCCATTGCTTTGTACATTTGTGGGTACCTTTAATTGTCTTTTTATGTATTTGTGCTCATTCAGATGTAAGACAATTCCCTCACGGGCAATAAAGAATTATCTTTTCCTATCTTTCACTGTACATGTGTGGATTTATAGTCATTTTTATTACAGAGAAGAAACGAAGCATGGTAATAAATTAATGATTTGAAACATATTTTATTGGATTTGCAACTCAGTTATTTGTTGTGACATTTCCCAGACATGTATAAACTTTATGATAAACTGGTCAATTACTGCAGAATAATAATCATAACAATAGTCATGTGTGGTTGCAAAATGTTTGACAGTTTAAATAAATAAGTCATACTTACAAGTTTACACAATGTCATGTTTATTTTATTGTCTAATTCAAGGCGTCATAAATAAGTGACTTCTTGGTGTCAGTCATGGTGATATCTGCGCCACTTATCACCTTCATGTTGACTGTAAAGTCATCTGGCCGCCCAACACTAAACATGGGAAGAAGAGACTCGCTCCACTCAACATCCACCTTGGCTAAAACAACCTCTCTGTTGAGGTCAATGAAGGCGAGTCTCCCCCTCCCCACATCCAGCACAACGCCATAGTGGAGGGTGGCCTGTGTGCCGGGTGTGTCAGACATTGTGTTACTGTGACACATCCCTCCTTTCTCTGGTGATACACCCTGGTACAGAGACTCCCCTGGTGTGTGTCACAGCTCCCTACACTGACACACCAGGAGCGGGGCTGTAGCCAAACATACCCCTCACTGTCTACCCGGCTCTCCTCCACCACACCCACCTCCAGGACAGGCCACAACCACCCTTCACGCGCCACACCCACCCTAGAGTGGGTCTCCCAATATTGTGGTGTGTGGGGGGCAGGGGTGACAGTAGAGGGGCATGGAGGAAGGGGGATGGGGGTGGAGGCACATGTTCCCTCATATTTCCGTAACTTGTCCCTGGCGCTGTCTTCTGTGGCGGACGGCGAGTTGACCAGCTCACCGTCTGAAGTTACGTGGCACATGTCTGGGTTGGCTCGTGCAGCGTCCATTTGTAGTTGAGGGCCTGGAAATATACATGTTTTTTACAGTTTAACAAATTTTCCGACTTCAGACATAATTATTAATAGTCATTTTATTGCCAATATCTTATCAATTATCTATGTGCACGAGTGCATGAACTTAGGATACCTATCTGTAAACTATACCTTCCAGTTGACAGGAAACATATGTACAACTTTGAGTGAGTGAGTGGGAGAGAGAGGAAAAGAGAGAGCGTGTGTGTACATGTTTTGCATTTCTATTTCAATGTATAGATTAACGAATAGGTATTCTGAACTTTCTGGAGCCTTCTTATGTGTTCAGTAGAGTCCGGTGAGAAGGCTATTGCAATAAAAAAGTGATTTCTGCAAGTATATAAGCAATAAATATATAAAATATGAGTCCTCTATCTGGATGTGGTTATGTGTGTGTGTGACTATTATATATTTTGTAGAGTGGGAATAAGTCTAGTAATTTCCCACCTTGACTATTGCAATAGCCTTCTCCCCGGACTCTCTACAGATCACATAGACAGGCTCCAGAAGGTTCAGAATACCGCAGCCAGAAGTAGTTCTTTATCTTCCAAATATGTAGAGATTATTACACTTCATTTTTCATATCTTCCCCGATATCATCCCGAGACACCCATATTTGAGCGTGTGGAAGCTTTCGGCCACACTTGCTCGCCATTACAGATTTGTTTACAGGACATGCAGAAAGAAAACAGCTATTTGATTGGTCGCCATTTATAGGTGAGTCAAGCAGTGAAGGGTTACCAAACCAAGACTGGTATTCTATCTGAGTTGCGCATCTTAATTGCGTTTAGAATTATTCAAGATTCTTGTAATCGCGAATATTTGGAGATGAATTGATACGCTACGCAACATGATTTTGATGTATTAGGTAAATACGCATTGTTATGTTTACATAGCGTAAACGTAAATACTTAGTGTTTTCATACGCTGGCATTTATTTTTCTTGCGTATTTCAAGTTTTGTTTAGCGTATTATACGCAAATACGCAGCTTATCTGGAACTCTGGATACTACTGGTGGTGGGACATGGATTATTATAGGGAATGGGGATACGGGATCACTTCTCACCTTGGCCTTATTTCGGGCTAATTCAGCTCCCAGCGACCCCTAAAAATAATGATCCACGAGCTGCGGCATCGTTTGATGTCCTTTCCCTTTTCAATATCCCCATTACCTATACTGTTTTATCCATTGATTTATTTTCCTTGAGCACTACTGAACCCGAAGGCATAATTCATGATACCATACGCGAGAAATGTTTCGGCTGCGCCGTGGCCTCTGTAGATCACAGGCTCTTTTGTTTGTCCGTTGCATCAGACAACCACATCCCCAAACCCACTAACTTTGCGCTCCTGCTTTGTGTTTTGTACGTGAAACTTTGCTCGGTCGTGGCGGGCGTGTCGTGTTCCGCCAGTTATATCAGGGTTTCGAAGTCCGCGTAGATGACGTAGGGCACGGGCATTTGATGTTTATGATTGATAAATTTGAGAATGTTTTTCTTTTTTTGGGCATGTCTATTCTGATCTATTCTGTCCCACCCCTCAGCAGTCCTGCCTGTGTGCTTCTAACAGGTCGGCTCGACTATAACTGTGCAGACATCTTTCACAAAAATGCTTCTCTTCTTCATGAGAGGATTGGTCGTACATCAGTCTGCTCAAACTTTTGATCCACGTATGGTGAATTTTACCCTCCTTCTCAACCAGCAATAAATTGATTCTGGGTATGTTTTCCGGAGTGGTGATTGTTCTGTATACGATAGTAGGATCCCCCAAGTGTCCGAAGATAGCCAAATTGTCTGACTGTAGTCATGTTGTATACCATATGAATGTTCTTCTCTAATGGGTTGTATACCATATGACTTTGTTTCTCTTAACGGCTGTACACCATATGGATTTCCATGGTGTTGACAAACAAAAAAATTTCTAAAAGTTAATCTTCCTGAGTCTCTTAATTTCACTCATAAAATCTGCATGTCTTTTATTAATAGGTTTCATTCTTACTTTGTCAGCCCCATGTGCTTTGCTCAAAGAATACTGACCTTTGACCCCTATTACACATATTTTGCATGTGTAATTGGGACAGCACACAGGGATACTACTCGTGGATGGAACATGGGCTGTCAACACATATGGATACTACTGGTGGGTGGGACATGGGTTGTCAACACACATGGATACTACTGGTGGGTGGGACATGGGTTGTCAACACACATGGATACTACTGGTGGGTGGAACATGGGCTGTCAACACACATGGATACTACTGGTGGGTGGGACATGGGCTGTCAACACATATGGATGGGACATGGGTTGTCAACACACATGGATACTACTGGTGGGTGGGACATGGGCTGTCAGCACACATGGATACTACTGGTGGCTGGGACATGGGTTGTCAACACACATGGATACTACTGGTGGGTGGGACATGGGCTGTCAACACACATGGATACTACTGGTGGGTGGGACATGGGTTGTCAACACACATGGATACTACTGGTGGGTGGAACATGGGCTGTCAGCACACATGGATACTACTGGTGGCTGGGACATGGGTTGTCAACACACATGGATACTACTGGTGGGTGGGACATAGGCTGTCAACACACATGGATACTACTGGTGGCTGGGACATGGGTTGTCAACACACATGGATACTACTGGTGGGTGGGACATAGGGCTGTCAACACACATGGATACTACTGGTGGGTGGGACATGGGATGTCAACACACATGGATACTACTGGTGGGTGGGACAAGGGTTGTCAACACACATGGATACTACTGGTGGGTGGGACATAGGCTGTCAACACACATGGATACTACTGGTGGGTGGGACAAGGGTTGTCAACACACATGGATACTACTGGTGGGTGGGACATGGGTTGTCAACACATATGGATACTACTGGTGGGTGGGACAAGGGTTGTCAACACACATGGATACTACTGGTGGGTGGGACATGGGTTGTCAACACACATGGATACTACTGGTGGGTGGGACATGGGTTGTCAACACACATGGATACTACTGGTGGGTGGGACAAGGGTTGTCAACACACATGGATACTACTGGTGGGTGGAACATGGGCTGTCAGCACACATGGATACTACTGGTGGCTGGGACATGGGTTGTCAACACACATGGATACTACTGGTGGGTGGAACATGGGCTGTCAGCACACATGGATACTACTGGTGGCTGGGACATGGGTTGTCAACACACATGGATACTACTGGTGGGTGGAACATGGGCTGTCAGCACACATGGATACTACTGGTGGGTGGGACATGGGCTGTCAACACACATGGATACTACTGGTGGGTGGGACATGGGTTGTCAACACACATGGATACTACTGGTGGGTGGAACATGGGCTGTCAGCACACATGGATACTACTGGTGGGTGGGACATGGGTTGTCAACACACATGGATACTACTGGTGGGTGGGACAAGGGTTGTCAACACACATGGATACTACTGGTGGGTGGAACATGGGCTGTCAACACACATGGATACTACTGGTGGGTGGGACAAGGGTTGTCAACACACATGGATACTACTGGTGGGTGGGACATGGGTTGTCAACACATATGGATACTACTGGTGGGTGGGACAAGGGTTGTCAACACACATTGGATACTACTGGTGGGTGGGACATGGGTTGTCAACACACATGGATACTACTGGTGGGTGGGACATGGGCTGTCAACACATATGGATACTACTGGTGGGTGGGACATGGGTTGTCAACACACATGGATACTACTGGTGGGTGGGACATGGGCTGTCAACACACATGGATACTACTGGTGGGTGGGACATGGGTTGTCAACACATGGATACTACTGGTGGGTGGGACATGGGTTGTCAACACATATGGATACTACTGCTGGGGTGGGACAAAGGGTTGTCAACACACATGGATACTACTGGTGGGTGGGACATGGGCTGTCAACACACATGGATACTACTGGTGGGTTGGACAAGGGTTGTTCCACTCCGTCCACACATGTCCCACCCACCCACCAGTAGTATCCGTGTGTTGACAACCCATGTCCACCACATAGTATCCGATGATTGAGTTGACAACCCATTGCCTCGTATCCCACCCACCACTGGTAATATCATATTGACAACCACCCATGTCCCACGAACCAGTGAGTATCCAAGTACTGACAACCCGACCAGTAGTATCCCACCCATACCAATAGTATCCATGTGTGTGACAACCCATGTCCCACCCATGGGTTGTCAACACACATGGATACTACTGGTGGGTAGGACATGGGTTGTCGACACACACGGATACTACTGGTGGGTGGGACATGGGTTGTCAACACACATGGATACTACTGGTGGGTGGGACATGGGTTGTAAACACACATGGATACTACTGGTGGGTGGTGACATGGGTTGTCAACACACATGGATACTACTGTTGGGTGGGACATGGGTTGTCAACACACATGGATACTACTGTTGGGTGGGACAAGGGTTGTCAACACACATGGATACTACTGGTTACTACTGGTGGGTGGGACATTGGTTGTCAACACACATGGTTGCTACTGGTGGGTGATACATGGGCTGTCAACACACATGGATACTACTGGTGGGTGGGACATAGGTTGTCAGCACACATGGATACTACTGGTGGCTGGGACATGGGTTGTCAACACACATGGATACTACTGGTGGGTGGGACATGGGTTGTAAATACACATGGATACTACTGGTTGGCATGGTATGGGTTGTTAGTACACCCAGGTACCACTGGTGGGTTGTCAACATACATACACAGACATACAGACATAAGTAGTAAACACAGATTCATAAGAAATCCTAAAATGGATATTTTCGCATTTCCCCTGTTAGAAAAACGTATTACAAATGACATGTTTGAATTATATAAAGGCGGAAAATTTGTTTCAAAGGGAATTTACCAGTCACATGGTTTTTTTTATCTCTACAGCAATCGCCAGTATATTATTTTTTGTGATGAAATTGATTTTGTTTAACGGCGAAAAGACGTTTTGAGAGACTGAGCTTAAGAACAATGACATGTTTGCGATATCTTAAAAACGATGCACTGAGTCAGCTGCATATTCGGGAAAGTACGTATGCACGTACAACGTTAACATGTGGTAACGACGCATTGTCGCGTTGTCTCGAGTTAGAAACACATTGAAAACATTGTCCCCACTTGACACATACATAATTGCATCAGACAAATGCGACCTGTTAAATTGGGCAACAACGGGGCAAGGTAACATATTTTTTTGACAAAATCGCTGTTCTCGCATTATGGCGTTTAAGTAAAGTATACTCATGCCAATAATGGTTGTCACCCCCTCCCACTAGCACACACCCCCACACCCACACCCCACACCCCTTCTCCAATAAAAAAAATTGAAGGGGGTGACAACCATTATTGGCATGAGTATATTATTCAAAGCGCGTTAGCGGGACAATGCGACATTTGGTGCCACATATGCTGTGCTACACACTGTCGCAGTTTTGTTCATGTTAATAATTTAGGCTTGGTTGTGAAACGGTGACATGGTTCCAATATTCCATGAACTACATTCAATACCTAATATCTTTAAAAAGTTTTCTTTCACTCTTTCCTTTGGTTATGAAATTCACATGTGGCCTTTGCTAAACACTTATTACACTATTTTAGAACAGATACATTGCCCACACTGTAGAGTGAGATACATTACTTACAGTGAAGAGTGAGATACATTACTTATAATGTAGAGTGAGATACATTACTTACATTGTAGAGTGAGATACATTACTTACATTGAAGAGTGAGATACATTACTTACACTGTAGAGTGAGATGTAGACTTAAGATGAGATACACTACTTACACTGTAGAGTGAGATACATTACTTATGAAATACATTACTGACACTGTAGAGTGAGATACATTACTTACACTTAAGAGTGAGATACATTACTTACAGTGTAGAGTGAGATACATTACTTACACTGTAGAGTGAGATACATTACTTACATTGAAGAGTGAGATACATTACTTTCACTGTAGAGTGAGATACACTACTTACACTGTAGAGTGAGATACACTACTTACACTGTAGAGTGAGATACATTACTTTCACTGTAGAGTGAGATACATTACTTACACTGTAGAGTGAGATACACTACTTACACTGTAGAGAGATGTTTTGTCCTGGAAACATCAGCGTATGATAAGCGACGTCATGTGAAATACCTGTCGGGATATAAGCTGTAAGCAATAAAGGAAATAGAGCACAGAGGAACTCTTGGCTTTCTATGCTCAACACATATAGTTACACATGATCGTAAATACGTACCGTAGTAAGATATTCAAATGTTAAAAGTCTTGTTTGCATCACAACAATGTATGTGTTATTGGGTGACTGGACGAATTCATTAACGAAGAATTAATACAGCTTAACCAATAAACTACATAAAAAGTCAAAGCCAGAGAATTCCCAGCCTCGGTTATGTGCTGAAACAGGCTTCACTGGAACGCAGATGCAGATACGTCCTCTATAAACGTGTCACAATCTATGACAATGCTTACCTGTGTCCAACCTTGAATCAGGGAATTCTTGTTCTGTCACTCTCTGCTGCCCCTTGATTCTGGTCACGAAAGTGAGCAATGATATAATAATATGACTAACTGTACCACAGAGAACTATACAGTCATGTTATAGAGTGAGTGGTTATACTGCCCGCACGAACCACACAGTCAGTTACTGTCCGCACGATCTGAACCAGCTGTATTTGTTGGATTTGAAGTCCGTTCTTCTACATGACGTGCCAAAGCTACAACCACCAGGCTATTTCACTGATGAAGTATATTTGACAATGAGATTAAACGCTTTTGACCTGCTAATTGTACCTTTTCCTATTTTGAGTAGGGGTACAACGCCATTGTAACGTTTCCCAAAACAGACGGTGAACTTTCCGTCCTGAATTACATATGTAGTCGTGATCTTCCCGTCATAATGTTCAGTAACTCACCCATGTATATTTTAGGTTTGACTGGGAGGCGTACCTTCTGAAGTAGTTGCTTCTTTAACATCTCATTCTCTTTTTCGACCTGTCTAAGAAACTTCTCACGTCGGGCTGCCTCCATTCTTGACTTTTCGTTTTCCTAAACAAACACAACTCAATTAATTTGAAAAAGCGACATTTGTTTCATGATGAAAATCAAACCCGTGAAGTTTTTAAAAAGGTGTTATGTCCATCAGAATAGTGAGGACTGTGCACTCAAGGGAAATTTAAGGTAGCTTCAAGTATTGAAACATTACAAACAAACCATTTTTAGGCGCTCCAGCTGATCCACCAGCTGTTTGTCTGGAGCACTGGCAGTATGTGAATCGCTTGAGTCCTGCCCTTCGAGATGATCTTTTATGTAGGGCTGAACCGTTTCCAGTATCTGAAGGAAGGTGTCGTATCCCTTTTTACCTTTCCTAGGCAGGATGCACAACAGTTCATCGCTCTGGGCAGCTAGTCCATGTTTACCTATGCACCTTTCTTTATCCATAAGGCTGAACACCTGCCGTTGATACAGTTCATCCAGAATCTTTGCCACATCCAGTTGTTCCTTCAGGTACACATGATTACGTTGTAGTATCTCTCTGTGTGACATGGTTGAAGTGTCTGCAAAAGGTTTATACATGTACAATTTATTGGATATGTCAGATAGAACGTCAGTTCTGTCAAACGTCAACTATCAAGTGTAACATATATTATTTTTAGGATTACTCTTTGTTAGTAAAGTAGAGATTCTGGTACTTTTGTTGGGTTGAGTCCCATGCGGGATTCGAACACACACACTCTAAGTCAAGCACCTAATCACCAGCCCACAAAGTCAGCCGCTTAACGCGCTCAGCCATCACGGCTTCCACAAAAATGAAATTGGGACAACTGGTAGTCTAGACTGCGGACTTTGTGTACCTCTCTGATAATCGTAAATTGACACGGCTCCCATGGCCGAAATCTATGAAAATACAATGACATTTAGAAAGTAGTTAAATGTAACATAAGTTATATTTGGGATTACATTTTCTTAGTAAAGTACAGATTCTAGTACTTTTGTTGGGTTGGGTCCCATCAGTGGGCAGGATTTGTAGTTGTGTGTGTTGGTTTCCAGTGAGTTTTAGACACCATTCTGTGTTGATTGTAGTGCGTGCCGTGTTAGGTTGTTTCTGATTTGGATCGTTTCCCCAGCACTCCGAGTACTGCGTGCACAGGGATCTAAACAAACTCAAATAGGGAGCCCGATTTAGTTAGTGAGTTAGTTAGGTTTTATATATTTAGTTTACTATTGATGTTGATGTTTGGTATATTTGTTTCAAATAGTTTGAGAGTCTTGTTCTGTTTCTTTGCTAGCGGGTAGTGTGGTACTGTACGGATGCCCATGAGTTCAGCCGTAAATATACGGATTGTCTGTCGGGCAGTCTGTGTGATTTGGTTTGTATTATTTAGTTTTGTCTGATAGTATGAGATGCAGACCCTGTGTGCTTTGAACCCGGGTCGGAGGACTCGTCTGTGTATATGTGACACACAATTGATGTGCTATGTTGATCTGCATTTATGATTTTTATACATAACCTTTTACGTTTCTATTTCCTGTGTCCACCATAGGACCGGAAGGTTATCTACTTCAGGGAGTTTAAAGGGTATGAAACAAACCTTGGCAACATAATTCCGGGGTTTTATCTCCTAGTTAGGTTTGGTTTATCTGAATACATACATGGTTTGGCAATTTCAGCCAGCCAGCTTTTGTAAAATAAAAGTAAAGTGATTGGTGAGTATTTTCCGGATTCCTTATTCGCATTGCCTACTGTGATATGTAGAGTTGAAATTACCAGATCGATACCAGATTTCGCTATCTAGCTGGTTTGTTTTGTTCAGGCGTATTTAAGTGTTTGTGCGAGACGGCTATGAGTTGCCTTTAGTATCTCCTTGTCGTTTACACCCCAGGAGGTATGATGGACGCTAAAAACATAAGTTTATAATGGATTAGTGCCTACCTTGAGGACCGTCAATGTCCCAGGCTTACTGGCGTTTTTCATTGGCATATGTTACTGATATCTATTGATTCATTGTGGCTTGCTTGGATACTTTCGTTTCTAGGTTAGAATTACTTATGTTTATCTTGTATGGCTTATATCCCCTAACATAAATATTCAAGCACCCGATGGCTTTACCTGGACGAGATTTGACTTGATCGAAACTTGATTATTTGTAACTTAAAGGTCACATGCAACGTAAAACACAACTTTGCAGATTCTGATACCTTTCGGTATGGACATGCCGAAACAAATCGTCAAAATGCAAATTCAACTTATAAAGTTGAAAAAAAACCGCGATGAAAAAACCGCGCGAAATCAGGTTCAAACGTTTTACTAATTTTCCCCAGACTTTTCTGGGAAAACGGGTTTCAACAGCTGGGCTGCGCTCATAGCATGTGCACAGTGAAATAGGTTCGCGCAGCTTGGAAGCGGGTTGTCGGGTGAATACTCGGTGAAGGCTTTGGTGTGAGCTATTTTCATAATGTTTTGTTGATATCTCAGGCGCGCGAGCTTTATATGTTATGACAGTAAATTAACTGTTTATATAATTTCATTTGTCTATTTCACCACACGTTCTTCTTACCGAGACACTTTCTCAGTTCGATGCTTAAAAGCAATGTCATTATTTAGCGTTGACACAATTTCTAACTGTGATATAGATATGTCGTTGTCACAGACAAAACTCAATGTCTTGTTTTATTGACACCTGTGTGTCTGCCTGCCTGTCTGCTAATGACAATATTCAATACACAACTGCGATCACTGACCACATGCAATTTGAACTTAACACCAATCAGGCTATACACCATAAACAAAACGCATTGATTTATGGCCCGAGTTCGGTCTCTGTCACATTATGTAATTACACAGACAGGGCAGGTGTGATGCTTGAACACATGACGTATTATGATGTCTGTTGATTGCAAAATGTTATACACAAAATATGAGCATGTATTTACAAAACCCAACATCTCTATATATACACACACAAATGAGCCATGAAGGCGTCATCTGCTAATGAACCAGCCGTTACACTTGAGTGCACACCCACCCGCTCTGACTGGGTTCGGTATCCCGGCTGCTTCGTTTCGAGGGAGAGTAAACCCAAATTACAAAATATTGCACTTTTGATTTGCGATTATTCGCTTATAATTTTGTTTATTTGTTTTTCATAATCAGCAATGCATATTATATGTCATGAAGAAGTGATAATTGTGTTTTAATTATGTTTGATTTTTGGTTGCATGTGACCTTTAATTATGGGATGCCATACGGGATGTTTGCAGTGCATTTATGTATATGTTTGGATTTGATTTAAATTTGAATGTTGGTGACGGTTTTGCGTTGCGTTGGTGTCAGGTAACTATGTTTGTGCTGGATTCCCACTGTGGCCAGTAAGGCCCTGGATATTGGATGCAATGAATGTGGATGTTATGGTGGTAAGGAGCACGTACAGCGAGTTTGTTAGTGAGGGATTTGTTTTAAACAAAGTTTTGGGGTTGTGCATATGAAGAGTTAGTTGTTTGGAGTCAGGGTGGGTTGTACCTTCGTTGTAAGACGTGCTTGTTTCACCACGATTTGTAGCTTATGTATCTATCTGCCCATTGAGTAAGTGAGTGTCCATAGGGGCAATGGTTTGCAAGTGAAGTGTGTGTGGTGATTTTAGTAGTGTATGCACCACGGGGGCACATGGGCCTGGTATGGTGGTACTTTAGACGTTTTAGAACACTGCTTGACTGGTTTAAAGAGCTGACTTATTTGGTATTTTTAAAACATAATGGCTACGGCTAGAAGGGTGGGATGGTCTTTACCGTTTCGAGTGGAATGAATGCGTGATGTACATGCATCTCTGACTTCGCGATCTGCTTTGGCCTTCTTGGAAAATAAGTTGGGCCAGTTCGGGATGCCCAACATGAGACGGGATTCATGTATCTAATTCATTTTGCAAAAGCCTTCGTGATATGGAAAGTTAATCGGAAACCTGTAGAAATTTAATATAGGATTAGGGATTTCTTTTCGTTTTGAACAAAAATCATACTTTGATAGCAGAGTAGGAGCGTTAGTTAGGTGGAAGAGCATGGTTGAGAAAAATAGAATGCGCCAAGATCGTTAGTGTTTGTGAGTAGGGTTTGTGCTTATATGGTGTGACTTTATTGGCGGCTGCCTGCGCTGGAATTATGGGTTTGATTATAGTTGTTGTGGTGTAGGTGTTTTGTTGGCGGCTGTCTGCACGGGTGTGGGAGGTTTAGTTATAGTTGTTGTGGTGTGGTGTTTTTTGTTGGCGGCTGTCTGCATGGAGTACAGGAGTTTAGGTTATGGTTATTTGTAGTGATGTGTTTTGTTGGCGGCTGCCTGCGTAGGAGTCAATGGAGTTTAGGTTATAGTTATTTGTGGTGATGTGTTTTGTTGGCGGCTGCCTGCATGGGTCAATGGGTTTAGTTATAGTTGTTATGGTGATGTGTTTGGTTGGCGGCTGCCTGCATGGAGTGTGGGAGTTTAGTTATGGTTTATTTGTGGTGCATGGTATTTTGTTGGCGGCTGCCTGCTTTTAGATATGGAGTTTAGTTATGGATTGTTGTTGTGGTGTGAGTGTTTTGTTGGTGGCTGCCTGCATGGGTGTAGAGTTTAGTTATAGTTGTTGTGGTGTATTGGTGTTTGTTGGCGGCTGCACCAGCATGGTTAATGGAGTTTGGATTTATGGTTGTGAAGATTTTATAGTGATGTGTTTTGTTGGCGGCTGCCTGCCAGGTGTGGAGGAGGTTGGTTATGGATTTATTTGTGGTGTGTGTGTTTGTTGGCGGCTGCCTTCATGGAGTGTAAGGTTTGGTTATGGTTGTTGTAGTGATGTAATGTTTGTTGGCGGCTGCCTGCCATGGATTATGGAGGTTAGTTATAGTTGTTATTTGTAAGTGTGAGTGTTTTGTTGGGCGGCTGCCTTCTTCCTTCTTTTCCTTCATTCCACCATCTCCTTCCATTCCATGTCTCCTTCCTTCCTCCTTCATTATTCTATATTTCACTACCTACCATTCCATTCATTCTTCCTTCTACCATTCCATTATTTCCATCCTCCTTCTCTTCTTCCACTACCATCTCCTTCATTCTACCTATTATGTCTCTTTTCCTTCCATATATTTTTCTACCATCTTCTTCTTTTCTTCTCTTCCTTCATTATTCCATTCCTTCCTTCTTTCCATTCATGTCTCTTCTTCCTCCATTATATTATATTTTCCTTTTCTCCTTCTCCATTATTCCTTCCATTCCATTATCCATTCTTCATTCATTCTTTTCTTTCTTCCACTACTACTGTCTCCATTCTTTCTTTTCCTTCTTCTTCATTCATTATTTTCTTCTTTTCCTTGTCTCCTTCATTATTTTCTGTCTTCTACCATTCCATTATTCTTCTTCCATTATTATATTTCTTCTATTCTCTGTGTTCCATTCTCATTATTCTTTTTTCTCATTCATTCTTCTTTTTCTACCATCTCCTTTTCTTCTTCTATTATTTTCCATTCTTTTCCATTCCATTCTGTCTCTTCCTTTTCTCCATTCCTTCTTCTGTCTCTTCTTCACTTCCTGTGTCTC